TTAAACCTTGTGAGGTAACTGCAAAAGGTATTCTTCCCGTTGCGTTGGTAGATGTGTCCTCTGGTTCGGAAAATTCGAATGCACTAGCACTTTGTGACACCGGTTCCACTCATTCTTGGGTTTCCGCGGCACTCGTTGAACGTCTGAAATTAGTTGGTACGCCCGTAAATGTTACGACCGATGGTTTTAACTCAGCCAAGGTATCTAAAACTCAACGAGTTCACTTGAAAGTTTCCGCAAAGCCCAATGAAAGTGAATTTTTGTTTTCGTTTGTCGCTTTCCTTAAGCACAACATGTATATAGGACCCGATGTTATAAACGTTTCCGAATTGCAGGTCAAATACCCGCAACTAGCCCCGTTAAAGACGACTGCGTATAATTACAAAGAGATTGAGATAGTTATAGGACAGGACTTCTATCATGCGATAAGACCCCTCGAACATGTCTTCGGAGATGAACTTGACTCACCGTGCGCCGTCCGACTTCCGATAGGTTGGGTCATTAGTGGTCCGTCTCCTGATCGTTCGTCCTTAAATTCTTCTTCCTTTAACTGCGTTACGGACGATACTTCTCTGACCGACCAAATCAAAACTTGGTATGAGTTAGAGTCGTATGGTGCGTTCAAGCAAGTAGATGCCCGTTCCGCCGCAGACAAGCGTGCTTTGTCGATCCTAAAAACTGAAATCGTTCACGATGGTGAGCGTTACACTGTACCGATGCTGTGGAGTGATAATGATGTTAGCTTGCCTAACAATTATTATTCTTCATTAGCCCAATTAAAGTCGTTAGAGAAAAGATTAGATAAAGATCCGTTACTTCGCGAGAAGTATACCGAAACAATCAGAGAAGATATAAGTAAAGGATATGTCATAACCGTCAACCCGCACGATCCCAGCTCACGAGCCGAACGTGAGTGGTATCTTCCACACCATCCGGTTTTGAACCCGAACAAACCCGGCAAGGTGCGCCGTGTGCTCAATGGAGCATCCAAATTTCATGGCACTTCCTTAAATAGATCTCTCTTGGTTGGCCCGGATCTCCTTCAAAATCTTATTTTTGTACTGTTGAGGTTCCGTCAACACAAGTACGCCGTCTCAGCGGACATAGAAGGTATGTTCTTACAAGTTGGAGTACTTGCGCGAGATCAACCGTCTCTCCGTTTTTTGTGGCGGGAGGACCCCACTTCAAGTGTGGTGGTTCACCAATACACCCGTCATATTTTTGGCGCTCGTGATTCGCCAACTTGTGCGAATTTCGCGCTACAAAAAACTGCTTCTGATAATCAAACTGAATACCCCGAAGCCGCTTCAGCCGTTGTCCAGAAGTTTTACATGGACGACTATCTTGACTCGTTCGAAAATACCGCTGACGCTCTTAGCCTAAGTAAAGACTTAGTCGCAATGCTCAAATTAGGTGGGTTTAACCTGACAAAGTTTGTTAGCAATGTACCCGAAGTTACAACCGCTCTTAATCCGGACAACCGTGAGTCCAACCCGTCAGTTAAGGATATTTGTAAGAGTCCAGACCAATCGTCGCATGTTCTTGGTCTCAGGTGGGATCATGTAAAAGATACCCTAGTAGTAAGTAGAGGTGTTTATCGACCACTAGATAAAGCAATTACTCAACGCACCGTGTTGAGTTTTGTTTCCTCAGTTTTTGATCCAATAGGACTGGTAGCTCCATATACTGTGAAAGCGCGCCTTTTACTAAAAGACATATGGAGAATCATTGGTCAAAAGTGGGATGATGATCTCCCAGAGGAAATTAAACAACAGTTTCTAGATTGGCACTCAGGAGCTACTCTCACGTAGCTACTCGTAGCTACTTTACCGAACCGTTCGACCGCTGTGAACTTCACACGTTCGGTGATAGTTCGCAGGACGTTTTTTGCGCCGTATCGTTTCTCCGAGCCCGACTTGCTAAATCGCAAAAGACTGAGTTAGCTTTTGTATTTGGGAAAGCCCGTGTAGCGCCTATGAAGATGCTCTCCATTCCCAAGTTAGAGCTTCAGGCTGCTCTGCTTGCGACTCGACTCAAAGAAGAGATTTTGAAAGCGCTTACTTTCAATGTAAGCAATGTATTCATGTGGACTGATTCTACCACCGTTCTCCAGTGGCTTAACTCGTGCAACAAACTTCCTGTGTTTGTTGGAAACCGCACTGGTGAAATCTTGGAGTCCACCACCATTGATCAATGGAATCATGTACTCAGTGGTGATAACCCAGCTGATACCGGAACACGAGGGATTTCTTCGGAAGCCCTCAAGGATAGCAGCTGGGTTAGAGGCCCTAGTATATTGAGGACATGTGATTGGCCATTCAAGCCGAACACTGATGTCATCAAAAAGATCCAATTAAAAGGCCCACTCTGTGACATTGATACATGCCTTGAGACTGCATCTACGTTTGTTGTTGATGCTTCATCTGAGAAAGCGCCGTCGATCCGTCTGTTTAAAAATTGGGATAAATTCAGCTCAATTGTAAAGTACAAACGTGTTTTAGCGTTTATGCTTCGTGTGCTACCATCGCATAAACACTTCCGTACAAAAACGCTTGAAATAACCGACCCGTCCGAGTTAGATATTGCCGAGCAGAAGCTCATTTATCTCGCTCAGTCCGAATCATTTCCTGCCGAAGTGAAAATACTTCAGTCCGATAAACTGATAACAAAGAAAAGTCGGATTGCTAAATATTCTCCGTTCATCGGCCCAGCTGGCATCCTGCGTTCAACTGGACGTATCAGCCGTCTTGTTGATACCGACTTTGATAGCAAACATCCAATAATACTGGATGGTCGACACCGAGTTGCTCATATGTTGATTAGGCATATGCACTTTCAACATGAACATCAGGGGTTGGATTACATGCGTGCTGTAGTTCAGTTGAAATACATTGTTCTGAAGTTGCGCTGGTTACTTGGGAACATCGAAAATACTTGCATAACATGCCGTAAGCGCAAAGCAAAAACAGTTGTGCCCATTATGTCTGACCTACCGATTGAAAGACTGGGTTACAAGCAGCCTCCCTTCTCCAACACAGGTGTTGATTACTTTGGCCCGTTTCAAGTGCCAATACGCCGAAGTACCGAAAAGAGATGGGGTTTCCTATTTACCTGCCTCACGACTCGAGCAGTTCACATCGAGTTGGTTCCATCTCTCGATACTAGTTCCTGCGTCATGGGCGTAGAGCGATTTATTGCAAGGCGAGGTACCCCCAAAACCATTCTTTCTGATAATGGCACGAATTTTGTTGGTGCTCAAAAGGAGCTCCTATCCTGTGTCCAAAATTGGAACAAAGTCGCCCCGGCCGTTTTCGTCCACAAAGGCATTAAGTGGAAGTTTAACCCGCCCAGTGCCCCTCATCACGGTGGCGCCTGGGAGCGGCTAGTGAGAAGTGTTAAGCGAGTGTTGTACGACATATTAGGCAACAGGAGATTAACTGAGGAAGTTCTAGGAACAACGCTCTGCCTAGTTGAACAATTACTTAACGCAAGACCGATAACAGCCGTTAGTTCCGATCCGCTAGATCTAGAGGCGCTGACCCCGAATCATTTTATCCTTGGTCAACACGCAGCGAGTTTTCCGTCGCTAAGTTTCGAAGAAAACTTCGACCATAAGAAGCGGTTCGCCAGAGCGCAATCATACGCTAACGCAATATGGACACGGTGGATGCGGGAATACGTTCCTTCCCTCAATAGGAGGGCAAAGGGGCACAACCAGTCAGACGTTAAGTTGAAAGCCGGCGACTTGGTTTGGGTCATAGAGCCTGACACTCCACGTGGACATTATCCACTCGCACGTATTCTAAGACTGCACTATGGCAAGGACGGATGCGCGCGATCCGCCGACATAAAGACCGTTACGAGCGAACTGACCCGCCCGACCGTAAAGCTCGCTCCCGTTCTTCCTTGTTTAGGGGTGGAGGATGTTGCAGCGCAAATATAAAACAATAGTACAAATGCATATACACTCAAATGTAAGCGAGAGTATAAGTGCATATAAAGTTGAACCAAAATGTAAATGCATATAGCGACAGTAGCCAAACGTATACATGGTGCGTCTCGGCGGGTTCGGCGCCGGTTCGAATCCCGACTAGGTCATTTCCTTTCTAGAACTCAAATATGCACCGAACTTGATGGGATGCTCCGTAACCAGGTTCGACCCCCCAAAACCTATTTTAACCGTCTTTTCGCTCTAATTTGGTTCAGCCTTGATTAAGGCTGACCTTTAAAAAGAACAATTTGTCTCAAGGACAAATACTGGCCATTTTTGCAGCTTGCTTTGAGTTATGCAGTTTATTGTGGCCGATGTTACCGATGATAAAGCTTGTTGAAAATTATAAATTATCGTTATATTTTCAAACTTCCGGAGTTATTTTGCCGAGAAAATACTCATTAATTAAAGTGTTTGAAAACCGTTTTTTATATAATCGTGGAGATTTACGCGCACAGGCGCCAATATTTTTCAAATTTAAACGCGTGCGCGCGCCGAAAAAACGCAATTTTTTCATCAACATTTTCCAAAAAGTGCCCAAAAATGGCTTTATGACCTGTTTCTTCAAAAATTTGCCTGTGATGCAAATTTTTTTTGGTAAAAATAGGTTGTTTGTTCTTTATAGTGTTCTACGAGTGCTCGGAAAATTAATTTGATCGACCTAAAAAATCTGCCCCCTCCCCTCTTTAGAAAAATCTAGACCCTCCCCTGCTGCTGTGCAGAAATTGTTGACAACATTTAGTAATTTAGGGCATCGGTAGAAATAAAATTTCGTATTGGCTGAGCTAAAAAAAAGTCGACATAAAACTTAGAAAAAAAAACTGTCAAAAAGCTCCTGTTTTAAACAAAATCTTATGATAGCAAAAAAAAAAAACAACTTTCTGAAAACATTTGCTGTCTAAAATGGAAAAAAAAATTACCTTTATCTGATATTTATTATCGCCATTATCATATTATGACTGTCAAATCTGAGCGATCGTTATTTTACTATTATTGTTACAAAAGGGTTTATACATGAAACTTGAAGGCTAATAATGAAACGCACGTGAATTACTTGCTCAATCGCGAGCTGAAGTTAGCTCTGAATTTCATTTCAACTCTTACACGCCTTCAAGTCGATTCATTCTCCAAACATGATTCTGAAAGCGGTCGCTCAAAGCAGTTCATCAAACTTTGCTCGTTCTCTCATTTTACCAAGTTATCAATCGAAATGTTTCACTCTTAAAAACAATCCTAGCTTCCAAAGTATATCTAGATTTTTATCGACAAAAACTAGTGATCTTGCGCCAAAAAAGACAGCTCTTTATGACTTTCATGTATCACATGGAGCTAAAATGGTCCCTTTTGGAGGATACTCGATGCCAATTCAGTACAAAGACGGGGTCGTAGCGTCACATCTATTTTGTCGGAGCAATGTTGTCATTTTTGACGTGTCGCATATGCTGCAGACAAGTGTCAGTGGCAAAGACGCCGTATCATTCATGGAGAGTTTAACAGTTTGCGACATCAAATCGTTGCAGGACAATTCAGGAAGTTTGACAGTTTTCACGACTGAGAGAGGAACGATTATCGACGACTTGATTGTGAACAAGATAACGAATGAAGAATTGTACGTGGTTTCCAACGCCGGTTGCGCCGAAAAAGACCTGGCGCTTCTAAAACTTCAGGAAGAGAAATTCAAAAATGATGGAAAAGATGTTTCTGTTGATGTCATTCCAAAGTCTCTTTTAGCCGTCCAGGGACCGAAAATGATGGAACTTCTGCAGCCTTTGGTTAATATTGACCTTTCTAAAATGCCCTTCATGACAACTTCGTTATGCGATATTGGAGGCTTGAAGGACCTTCGGATAACTAGATGTGGTTACACAGGTGAGGATGGGGTTGAAATTCAAGTTAGTGATGAAAATGTGGTTCAGTTGGCAGACATGTTGACTAGCCGAGACGAAGAGTGTCGAATGGCTGGACTAGCGGCACGAGATAGTTTGCGACTTGAAGCGGGTTTGTGTTTATACGGAAACGACATTGACGAGACGACAACTCCGAACGAAGCGGGACTTTTGTGGCTAGTCGGGAAGCAGCGGCGGAAGAGGCGCGATTTCCCTGGAAGTGACGTGGTGATGACACAGATAACAGATGGATCGTTTCTGCGCCAGAAGAGAGTCGGCTTGAAGGTAGAGGGTGCACCCGCCAGACAGGGAGCTGAGGTGCGAATTGAGGGCGAGAATATAGGTACAAGCTTATATTAATAGAACATTTTTTATTCTTGGCAAAAAAACAGCTAAATCAAGCTCCGATTTTTTCAACAGAGCTACCAAGCTAATAATTTTTCCAGTCTAAAAGGGAAGTTTTAGCTATCCACCTTCCACTGACTTTCAGAATTATGCGGAGGCCGATTAATTTTTTTTCATATTACAATATCTACTAACTTACAGCTTTTAGTCTGCAGATGGGTCACGAACATTAAAAAAGCACTGCATTTACTCCCGGCAAAACAATTGTTGCTTGCAAAATTTCAGTACTCGTGAAGCAATGGTTTTTTCATAGGCCACGTGACTAGTGGGTGTCCTTCGCCAAGCTTGAAAGAGAACATAGCAATGGCCTATGTGAAAACAGAGTTCTCCAAAATAGGAACCGAACTACATGTGAAAGTGCGAGAGAAAGAGTACCCTGCAATTGTGACAAAGATGCCATTTGTCAAAACCAACTACTATTTCTTGTAACTTAACTTAGTTATTCTTTCAATGAACATATATTTGCAATCTGAATTTTAAACAATTTAAACCAAGCTCGTGTGATATACTTTTATTAAATGATTTAAACTATGATGTTTTTCTTTTTTTTTTGTTTTTTTTTTCTGGTATTTGAAACGCAAAATTAGATCGCGTTGTCAAGATAGATAAGATTGAACTTATCAGGGTCCCTGTATTTTGAGGTTCAAAGTAAAAAATTTTATACGATCCAATTTTTGCAATTATTCATATCAAAATTATAGTGAATTCGAAAATTGACCAAACAAATCGAAAAAGCTTTCAGTATTGAGAAGTTTGACTCTTCATTCTCAATTATTGCAATTTTTTTTAGCTCTTCGCTCATAATATCAAATATTTTAATAACTTGAACACAATTTTTTTTAATTCATTCGTCAATGATGTGTAATTTCAAAAAATTGGTTCGCGTTTTCCAAAAATTCTCTTCATTTTTTTCTACTTTTTCTGATCAAAGGTTCAAATTTTGTTCATCCTCCTATTTTTTAGTCAAATAACTTGCCCAGAATCTGAAACCGAAGATGAAAAAACATCAGAATGATTTTTCTCGACACCGTGGAGTTAAAAATATTCGTCTCCGAATCCAAGTAGCAGCAGAAAATCAAAATTAATATTGCACACGCCATGAAGTAACTACAAGCAAATTAAATCACTCTAGAAACAAAACACCGGTGCAGAAAGATATGAAAGGAAGTCAAGAATGTTTTTAATTGTATCCGTATTTCAAAATCTGCTCTAGACACAATTCTGGGCACTCTGAACAATAAGGGTTTGAATCAATTGATCAATTCGTTTGCATTTTAAAAAAGTGACGGGCCATTAGTGTCCGCAATACTTTTTTCATCAGACAAAAATTAAAAACTGGCAATTTTTTATGAAAAAGCTATTAATGTGCCTTGAGGACAAAATAAAAAAGGCTTCGGCTGCAATTTTTGTCAGGGTACGGGGGTTTGAAAAAAGCCATATGAGCGGAATTGGGCGAATAAACACGCGATATACTTCTTTCTATCTATTGTGAGCAATGAAAAAATCTGGCGCAGTAATCACTTCACTGCAAGTAGCTACACCCCTAAAAAGACGTCGGGTTATTCGTGACTTTGCTCAGATAGTGGCAGTTTTGTTTAAATTTTTGAGCTTCATTAAAAACGCTTCAAAATAGAGCAGCTGCCTATTTTTAGAAAAAAAATTTCATCGCAACTGTTTTTCAAGAAAACTAACGCTTTTTAAAAATGATATTTTACTTTCGAAAATAAAAGTCCAGCTCTATTTTGGACTTGTACTTGCACTTTTGGGTTTGCATTTTTTATTATTTCAAATTATAATTTGAATTTAATTCATCAAACATTTTATGCTGAAAGTGAGAAACAAATTTCAACTTTTGAATTTTGAAGAAAAAAGTAGATGGCCTTAAAACTCTTTGAATTTGTAGAACAATTTATCATGGACCTTTTTTGTTGACATAAACAAAGTTTGAGAAAACTGGATCAATAGGCAAAATTTTTATTTCGCTGGAAAATCTGATAGTTAATTTCCGTTTGCGAAATAAGAAGTCAATCAATTTTTCGTGACCTTTACACTTTTGCTGTTCGATAGTGAAGTTTGCCTCCCTTTTAACAATTTTTAACGATAGAAATACACTGAATTTGAAAATAAGTCACAAGTCAGTCCGCGAAAAATCAAAATTGAGCGTGAACAAATTTTAAGACGTTTTTCGGAAAAAAATCAAAAAAAATCAGCAATACCTATATAAGAGTACTCACTACGTTCATTACTCTTAGAAAAATGATTAAAATTAAAGAAAATGAAGAACTGATTTTGTGGTTTTTGAAACAATCCCCCACTCACTGAGCCAAGTACAACGTAAAAATCATCTGAGCGTCTAACAGAAAACTCAAAATATTTTGCTTCAATTTTTTTTGATACAATTTATGGGTAGACTAAATAAACAACGGCTTTCCCGTTGATAATCCGAAATTTCTTGCGCGTTGGTAGTCCCATATTAGCCAACTGCCACTTTTCAAACCCCCACATATTTCAACAAATACTCATAAATAAAAAATGTTTTTTTTTTAATTAGAGCTCATTACTGATTGTCTGATGACATAAGAAATTTTGTTCAGAAATAATCATTTCAAAAAAAATGACATTGTTCCGAAGAAAAACCATTTTTCCGTCGCTGTCTTCAAAATTGGAAAAAACAGGCAAGACTGTTCGTTTATCATGGCAAAACCTTGAATGTTTTGACTGCATTTTAAGGATAAAAACATTTTTACTTGAAAAAATGATGAAATAATCGAGAACAAAAAGGGATTTTTTTTCTTTTCTGCGTTTTATCTCATCGTACGCTATGTAAATTACGAAGGAATAATCATCACCATATCTCATATCCTAATAATACGACCAAAAGAAATATTTGAACTCATTTTAAGACTTTTTTTATAAGAACGCAATATATTGCGCGTTAGTTATCCACAGGTGGCAAAAAAAAGCTAATAATTTTGTCAAAAAATCATATGCGAATTGTTTTTTTCGTTTGAACTCCAAACAGCAATATTTTTTTGATGGCGTTTCAGTCGAAAATGCCAAGTTAAAACGTCGCAAAAAGACTGAAAAAATGAACACAAGGAAACTGACTTGTTTTTCGAAAGTTCTAAATCTTTCAAGTTTCAAAGTAAGAAATATATTATTTTCAAGCACTTTGAATTTCACGAAAAGTTATTGATTGACGCTTTTTTGGATAAAACAAACTCAATTTGAGAAAACGTAATATAACCTGTTTATACGGCTGGGAATTCTAAAAATTAAAATACACTTTGAAGTTAGAAGTCGACCACGTTTTTTGTACTTTTACACGTGCTGTTTGATAGTGGAGTTTGCATTCCTTTAAACAGAGGAAATAAATTGAACTTAAAAAAATCAAACGACAAACCGCGGAAAATCAAGTTTGAACGTGAACAATTTTTAAGATTTTTCTTGAAAAACAAGTCATCACGACCTATATAAGAGTCTTCTCTACGTTCATCTACCCTTAAAAACTACCCCAAACATAAAAATTCCGCTTTATTTGAAAGTCGGAACAAAAACAAACTACGTTTATAGATATGTTTTTGAAATTTCACCGCGAATTTTGAAGATCGTAGGTTGGAGGGCTAATTAACTTTGCTGAAATGCATCAAACTAAATTCAAAAGTTGAGCTTATATAGCCAGGTAAGTACTAAAGTCTTTTTTGATGAAAGTTAAAGCTAATGTCTTTTTCACTCATAAGCAATCGTTCGTACACCAAAAGTATGCCACTTGGATTAACTAAAAAAAATGTTACGATTGGTTAAAAAATAATGATACACTTGAAACATTTGAACCACTTGATCGACTGGTCAGTTTTTCTTCAACCTTCAACAATTTATATCAATTTTTGTTCATAAATCTTTGTCAATTTTTGAAACAATGTTCACAACGCTCCAATGTTGCGAAGAAATCGTTTGCTTAGTGTGGTGCAAACTTTCCTTAGAGAAATTTTGTCTGTTGATCATTAATATCGAATTCTCCACATTTTTCTTCTTGCCAGATGCTGAATTTACTAGCCACAAAATATCATCTATAAAATGTTAGTTTGTATTCTCAGCTGACTATCTCTTCTTAGATCTTCAAATGTGTACTGGGGTTGTTCTTGCGCCAATGGAAAAGGACAGTAAATCTAAAAATAACTATTATTTGGCGGAAAAATTTCACACAGTCATCACAAAATGGTAAATTTTTGGATATTAATTACTCTCTGACATAATGTTTACATAATCAAATAACCATTAAAACCTTAATATTTATATTTTTAATGAAATCAGAGTTTTGTTTCAGATAAAATGCTTGCTTATTCTTAACTTGATTCCATAACCAAAAATACTTGACCTAATAAAAAATACTCTAGAGATCATAATAATTTTTTTAAAACGGGCTATACAAAATAATACCTACCTTGGGGTCTTTGATCACCAGCAGAAGGAGGTGAGTGTCTTCTGGCAGAGAGAGACGTTCCAGTTTCCCCTCCAGACCCGAGAAGTCACTCTTCTCTATGTAGTCTTTCTCGTCGTGAGTGTGCCACTTCCCTCGTATTCCCAACTGCTCATACTTCCTTAAAACAGTTTTCTTTTTAGCTGTAGAATCGGTAACTCTAGCAAATTTTCGACTTACCGACCGTGCATTTTATCCTAACATGATAGGGAAAATATTAGTAAATTTGGTTCAAAATCGGGTTATGACTAGTTTATTGGGATCGTATGACTTTGTTGCTTGGGTCAAGATTTGACACCGAAGTCAGTTGGTATTTAAGTAAGTAGCAAAGGGGGGATTTAACTGATAAGAATCATACGACTTCGGTTACTTACCCGATTTACGATGCCAACCGCAGGGGGATGTATTTACGAAACGTGAACAAGTCGATAAAAACCCCGGACTTGGGACCCGTCAGCTTTGACAGGGGGAGTAGGTAAAAGCGAAAACCATAGGGAGCGGTTGTGCTTAAGGGGATGACAGCACCGATATGAAGTGGCGTGACTTTAACAAACACGGAGCACAAATAGAGATAAGAAGTGGAGGTTAGAGAGCGGATTTTAAGCAGAACGAGTTAACGAGCGTAAGATTCAGTAGGTCCCAGTTGTGGTCGCTATCTGAACTCATCAGTTAATTGTTTCACAGCGAGTGAAGTAAGAACGCAAGTCGAAGTGCCTTGTGGAATATTAGTTAGAGCAGAAGCTAGCACAAGTCAGAGAGCTTAGTCGACACGTGTACTGACCGAGTACGCAGAGAAAAAATTGTTAAGCGTGTACAGATCGCAAACCATTCTGTTGTATATTATTAAATTATACGCTGGCCGAACTAGTAGGCCCTTTGTATTCATTCAGACTTATATATATATTGAATTCATTTGAGAGAAAGGAATTCGTTATACGCGACTTCAAGCGAGATATAGCGAGCAAGAGCATCACTGACCAGGGGGGAGCAATAGAATAGAGTAGATGACAACTCACCACTAAAATAACCCTTTCGGGATTGTCGTTAATACC